TTCCCACCACAAAAAAGGTACTTTGCTCATATAAACTTAATGGTTACTCAGGTAATTATAGTTATAGTTACCAATAAGTCCCTCATAAGTGAGTTGCGTGGCCATGACACTGGTGAAGTCCACCGCCCGGTCTAGTAGCAGCAGCTGGTCTATACAGGAGGTGGCCGCGCCGCGGGGACCCAGGCCTTGCTCCTCCTTGTTCAGGCGACAAAGGAGGTCCCATACCTGCATACAAAGATACAAAATGAAACCGGTTAATAACACAATTTTTTTAAAACTTTGCCCCACACTAGTATTTTCTCCTGTGTCATAGGTGATAAAGTCAAAGTCAAAGCATTTATTTCAATTAAACCATAATTTGGTACTTTTGAAACGTCAACAAATACAAAATAAATTATAGTCTGTCAATCAGACCGTCAGTGAAGCCAGGTGAAGCTAGGTACTCATTCCAAAATGTAGATTCGAATGGAGAAGAACGAGCAAGAGACTCCATTCGTTACTCTTTTTAAAAAAGTATATAAACATACAGGTTCACATACACATGACACCCAGACCCGGAATAATAATTTGTGGATCACACAAGGAGTTGTTGCAAGCGGGAATCGAACCCACAGTACGTTGCGCGGTAACCAGATCCCCGCCACCGCGCCAACCGTGCAGTCAATAATACCAACAAAATGCAAGAAAGATATTTTTTTTTCGGTTGGCGCGGTGGCTTGGCAACTGGCTGCCGCGCAACGTGTCGCGGGTTCGATTCCCGCACGGAACAACTCTTTGTGTGATCCACAGATTGTTGTTCTGGGTCTGGGTGTCATGTGTATGTGAACTTGTATGTTTGTAAACGCACCCACGACACAGGAGAAAATCCTAGTGTAGGGCAACGTTTTTAAAAAATAAAAATAAATAAATTTATCTTCTTTGTGACAGTAACTCACTTGTTTAGCAGCAACGCCCTTGCCAAACACTCGCGGTATGATTCCATACATCTGCTGTATGGTGCGCAGAGCCTGTGCAGCGTTGTACACGCATGTCGGGTCGCCCTCCAGGTAGTTCTCTCTGTTACAATAAATATGACGTATTTTATTTAAATACGAAATAAACTAAAGTCTCTAATCAATGTGTGTTACCAGTGATGATCTATGGAACTGAAACGTGGATTGGGGAAGGCCTATGTTCAGCAGTGGAATGATGATGATGATTTGTGTTATCATCATAGTCAGAGCTCATAAATCCAATATTACGAATATTGTTGCCTTAAAAGATAACAAAAATAATACCTCTTTTTACAACCCATTAAAATGAGTCAGGGTGGTGAGTTATAATCTCCTAATCTTACTCTTATATCACCGTTTTATAGTTTCAACAGTTGTACCAATAAAGTAGGATATAGAACAGGGGTGGCCAAGTTGATCAAAAATAAGGTCAAAGTTTTACTAATAAAACCATGTGCGATCTACCACTTACATACTTCTTGAATGAAACAGCATAGTGTTTAGTACATAATCATAAAAACGACACAAAATTATGCTGTTTATAATTTGTTGTTGTGCAATCTTGGCTGTTTATTTATAATAATTTTGCTTAGCCACCATCCACTGTACTAATGGTCGCGATCGTTCGCGATCAACCGGTTGGCCACCCCAGGAGGCTTACTCTTGAATCCAATTCCGATCGATCGACATTGGTATTGTGAAATTTCGTACTCTTGAGTTGCGCCCATTGCATCCGTATTGCGTGGACATTTATTGAATTAAATGGTATTGAGTTTGGCTTTTTATTCCGCACTCTGAATGCTATTTCAACAGTTACGAAAGGGGTTGTAGGTACAGTTTTGACATTGAGATTGGTTTCAAGAGTAAGCACCCTGATATAGAACATATTAGTAATACTTGAAGTACAGAAAGCATGTATTCACTCACCGAAAGTCATTCTGCAGTTCCAGAGACATGACATCACTTTCAAACGGGAAGATGTCACACTTGAACTCATGGATGGTCAGGTTGGTCAGCACTCCGAGGTTGGTCAGGTGCTTCTTACAGAGCTCACTCTTTCGGGGCACAAAGAACAGGTGGAACTCCAGCGGTGTTGTTTGTTTTGACCTGTGGGGGATTAAGAAGTTTAATTTAAGTTGGATGGAACGTGGCAGATTATAATACTCTTAAGAAATTATGTATGTATATGTATGTATATATGTATGAATGACATGTGTTGTTACAATACAGTAAACTGTAAGTAAAAGTATTAATAATTTAACCCATAAATCCCCAAGCGGTCACCGGTGACCGCTTTCCACTAATATTACATTATAGACCTTATTTCTAATGTTTAGAGAATACTTTTGTATGACCAAATTTAGGGGATGGATATCAACGGGTTAAGAACAACATTTACAATATTACTAAACATTTTTGCTGCATCCATTTTTGCTATTTAAAACCCAAGAAAATTATTGACGAACAAGAAGAAATTTAAAATGAATAAACCAATTAATAATTAAGTACTTAAGAATTCATGTGTTGTATAAGTATAATATATCATTAAGTATGTACACCTCATGTGCCATAATCAAATTGTGTTCATAAAAGACTAAATAAATAAATAAGTTATGTTTTTAAGCAATCAGATATCTAATTTTAATTTAAGATATACTCAAGAATTAGATGAATATATTCATTGGAAAGCATTTAATTTAGAGTTTGTATCATTAATTCCCGATTATGAAAAATCCGAAACATTTGTCCATACAAATGTAGTCTCTTAACATCTGAAATTAAGACTATAATGAAGTAAGTGGTGGTTTTTTTTGAGAGGGGAACTCATCTAATGACTTTTCCCACCTAGGGTTAGTCGAGAGGGAGTGTCAGACTCTTGCTGACTAAAAACTACCCTGTTTTTACTCCTGCTCTTCGAGCCGGAGCCCCGGCAACCTGTGAGGCCCTCCGCGGCTCCGTATCGGGCATCAGCATCAGCCCTATTTGGCCTCATCTGTGGTGGTCTGATGGCTCTTTGAGCCTGATGGCTCTTTGAGTCTGATTGCTCTTTGAGTCTGATGGCTCTTTGAGTCTGATTGCTCTTTGAGTTTGATGGCTCTTTGAGTCTGATGGCTCTTTGAATGGGTGACTGCTTGGGGACATATTCAAGACTAATATAGTATAGTAACTCAAGACTTACCTAAGTGACTGAATATAATTAGCTACTAAATCCATCAGATGTAGCTTAGGTCTTGTGATGAACACTATGTGTTTGACAGATATGTTGGGCAGGTTGCCTGGTTTTAGAGGAAACATCTCCGTGACTCCATGGTCCTTTAGCAAGGAGTATTGGGCTACTAGGAGCACAGGACCTGCTAGCCATTCGTCCCATATTGTTACCTAGTGGAAAAATCAATAGTTTATATGCAGAGTTACACAAAAATGGACCTTGAGGATAATCAGAAATAAAATACATATTTGTTATATTACTTTTACTGTTCACACCCAAACTAAGTTTTTCTGTGGTTTGGTGACTTGAGGCTAACCTCCTACTATTAAGGGACTAACTTTTATTTATGTTTTTTTATTCAGGGAGCACAAATTAGATGTAATATGCATTATTTTGACAAGTTACACTGAAGTTATTATTATAAGTGCTTTGTTTTGATGAAGATTACAGTCTAATTAGAAGATTTATAAATATTAGGTACTTTCAAATATAATATTTACATCATCATCATATCAGCCAGGTATTAATTGATCATAGGCCTGCCCAATTACTTCCAAAATTCACATAGGGCTAATTAATTAAACTAAGCTTGATACTACATATAAAATTAATTAATAGAGCGAGTCAATAGCTTGGATTAAAATAGTATATACATATTATCACGAGGAAAACTAACGCCTTTTATTGATTGATAATGTAAATGTTCATACTCACTTTTGGGCCTTTGAAAGGCTCTAATAGATTCAGTAATTCAGTACGCATCCGTTCCTGGACTAAAGCTACGTTTAGTCTTCCACCAGATAAATGTGTACTCATTTTTGTTTCACGCATTTTGTTGTATTTTTCTTATTCTTCTTCAGGCAGGGGTACAACTCTGTACTTTGTTATTGTTTTGTCATCTGTCAAGAGTGTCAATGTCAGATAATTAATTGTCAAAGTTGGTTTCGTCCTGAAATTGTCAAAGAGCAGATTGAAAAAAGAGAGAGAGATTGAGAACTTTTTGGCAATCTAAAAAGAGAAGAATTTACAGTAAACGTTTGAAATTTGGAATGGATCCCACTGTTATTTTTTTTTCATACTAGTATTTTAATGTGAAATCAATGTAAAACTTTAGATAATTCTCTACAGAATTAAAATTAAATGAATGAATAAGCAGTGAAAACATTATGGGTGTTTTTATTTCTATAACAATAATAATCAATATTATATTATGTTCTGACTACTTCTGACTAAGGAAAAGAACAATGACCAAAATGTAAATAGTTAAAGCATAGCAACATTTTTTAGTAGAAAAAGCGGCAAAGTTAAAAATGTTTGCTAATAAAATTAACATTAAAATTCAGTTTCCAGACTCAACAGTTGGTACAAAATAAATCATACGATACGAGCCAACTGTAGCTCTGACTAAACAATTTATTGATTGGATATTTTACTTCTATTGTATTTTCTCGTCTCAAAACAACTTAATCATAAACAATTTATTATCAATAATATTGCTTACCTATATCTATTGGTAATTGTATTTGCAAGTACCTCTAGGACAATGAGAGACCTAACAAACAAGCTGCCTACAGAAAGAACATTAATTCAATGAAATTGACTTAATACCCCCAATTTCACGATAATGACGCGTAACAGCCCTCATATCTCTGAAATCAGCTGGTAAACAACACAGCGAAACACAGCGAAACTTCGAGGCAGTAGGTATATAGCTATAAAACCTGTAGGTATGTTTATAGGATAGTTACGAGGCTGTTGCTGGCGCGGCTCTTACTCCTTATCATTCGTGTGTAGCGGCTCACTGCGCGCGGCGTCGCATCGATTTTTCCACCAAACAAGCCATTCCCAACCATCACTTGTATTGTAAACACGTTCCATAAACAAGTGACGCTCACAGTCGCGATAATACGAATAATAAATAATATTGTGAAATGTGAGAATTTGGAAGGAAAATAATGCGCCACTCCCCGTGGGCAGAAAACTACAATGGCCGCCCAAAATAAAGGTAGGTATGTTACTCGCAGATTTTTCATGGAAACTAAAATAAATACGTGTGTTTTAATTTGTTTGTAATTATTTTTGTGTTCTGTCGATGATTTTGTGTTATTTCGTTTTGTGTTTGTGTTCGTAAATATTTTTGTTCGGCGTTAATTAAAGTGTATCGTAGTTTTGACGTTAGTTACAATGATAACATGAGTGCGTAGGCGAATGTCGGCCATGTGAGTGCTGTTTGCAATCTTGTTTTTATGGCTGGTGGTGATAAGGGCGGGTTTAGAAGGTCTTGGGACGTTTTGTGGCAATTTTTTCGAATAAATTGGGGTCAGACTAGGTGTTTTAGAATTATGTTTTTTCTTTATAAAATATCATATCTTTTAAAAACTATTAAATACATATCTAACACCAATTTAAAAATGAGCGTTATTAAATTATTTTCTCCAAAATTTTCGTTAGATATTTTACTTTTTATAAAAATACATTATTCTTAAAAAATCATCTGTATCTTTTTATACATTAAATTAATAAAATATACTGCTATAGTATATACCTATTACAAAAGAGGTAGGTACGTAACCAGTTTATTTGCAGAAAATAGATTGTGCCTATTCGCTTCGTCACTCTGTGGTGACCGTGAAAGTATCCAATCAATGTTTTATTATCATACCTAGCTATACGTACCTATAGTATAGATACACATATAACGGGGCTTTTGTGCTTGAGTACGTACTTATCTCAATTTACTCTTGGTTGGTATTCTTAATGGTTTGTAGGAATGATTTGAGTAGAGAGAGAAAGCGAAAAGTTTCATCTCTGATAATATATTATTTGTTTTAACTGTTCTTGGTCAAATTTATAAGAACCGAATTACAATGATTTTTTGGCCATCTTCTTGCTGTAGGGGTCGACAATTTATTGTGCTCATATTTTTATTTGTCCTTCTTCCAACGTGACAAACTGAAAAACCTATATATTTATATATTACTTATAAATAAATAGATCAGGAATATATTACCAATTGTTCTACCTTGTAATCTTTTTCAAGCCTTGCACAAAAATGTTATCCGATTTAATTCTTGTTGTAACAAGAACAAAACTGATCATGATAACGATCTCCTGCAGTAGATCGGATGTAGCCAAATATTTAAAATACTTTATTCAATTACATAGACTTAAAAAACCTTTACTGTTAAGTAAAGCTGGTGTTACTGGTTAGAGTAGGAACTTATGTTTTTCGTGTTTATTAACTTATTAACTGAACCCACATCTTAGTCTGCGTTTTTCTAAAATAAGAGTATGTTACTTCTTACTACAATAATTAGCTACCTGCCAATAAAAGTCCCATCAAAATTGGTCTAGCCATTCCAGAGTTTAGCCAGTACAAACATACAGACAGGCAGACAAAAGTTGTAAAAACTGATATTTTTGTATGTACCATATTGTACTTATATTCAAATGCATGAAGTAAAAAGCGATATTTCACTATTACAAAAGGACACTTCAATTTTATTTATCTAAATAGATGTATAGCTAGTTGTACATATAGGTAGGTACCTACGCGTTACGTGGTGAAGGCAGAGAATAAAATACTTGTCATTACCCCTTCCACAGAATCCTTATTATATCTATGACCCCTTCTCTTCACACGGGTACCGAACCGGGAGGCCAGGAAACAGCATTCTCTTGAATTTGAAGCTTCTAACTAAACCGCGATCTCAAATTTTAGTTCCTTGCAAGTAAGTCGAGCAGCCTCAACTGTCTACCTCTAGTATCTGTTGATTGTCAACTTCAATCAATACGAAGATTGTCATTGACTGTTGAAGATGATGGCGTTGCATCAAGCTTCCTTCAGCATACTGCTAAGGAATGGCATTCTTCGCCAGAGTCTGTATTTCCTGAAGGGTACAACCTGGGTGTCTTAAAGGCCCGAGTGAATAGGTTGCTTATGGGATGACGTGCTCCATCGTAGATAGCATCATAGCTTCTCACCGGCCAGATAATGGTCAAACGTCGGCCTATCAAATATAAAAAAAGACCTAAACATATATCTACAGTATTATTTATCCAGTAGGTCATTATTTTCGAAATTAATGCTTTCGTATATCCACCTCGTTTGTCCCTAGAGACTTGAAAGAAACAGTAAGAAACACCCACATTACCATAATATTTCTGATTGTGATCACATGGGACTCGGAGCTGACTTTGTAGCCAACATATTGAGTTTATCAGGGTGACCCTTTATTACCGGCCAGTGTCACTAAGAGCTTTGCAAAAACATCAAATCTTTCTCTATTAAGTAGGTAGTTGGGAAGAATGACCATAGTCGTAAGGAATCCTATTACACAATTTTGTATTTAACAAAAGGAAGGAATTACTTATGTTTTGTATATGAAATTAGCATAATATACACTATCTATAGTTCGTTAGTCTCGCTAAAACCCGAGAACGCCTGAACCGATTTGGCTAATTTTTGTCTTGAATGACTTGTCCATGGTGGGTTTAAAAGGTTAGAAACAAATTTGAAGGCGGTACAAAGTTTGCCGGCTCAGCTATATATTATACAATTAGGCACATAACGTATTACACTTTATAATTCCTTTATAACCTGCTGCTTGTAGGCCTTTTGAATTCTATAATTAATTAGGTACTCACAAACATTAGGACGATTACCTCTCACCCGGGATTAATAAATTTGACAGACAAAATGTGGTTGTAGCCACCTTTCATCCATCCCCGTCCACTCGTTCAAGGAAAACCCAGTAAAATGTTGTTAAGCTATAATTTTGGGGTAAATTACATTTCGCTTACGATAACATAATCTCGTTTTGAGTACTAATGGAATCCTAAGGAAAATGTTCTGATACGGTCCACGTAATAATAATGCACGCGTTTCTCATGTTTAGGTAAGTGTTTGGAGTTCGTGTTCGTAGGATACCTAAGTTTATGTACGTAGAAGATTTATTTTTGTTTATTTAAATATGTTTGCTCATTTTATTCAGCGATTTCTCGCCTTAAAAATCATGGGCCTATACTAAGCATATTCGGAGTCGCGGAGAACCTAACGGGTTACCGGGGCTCCGGCTCGACGTGCAGGAGAAGGAACGGGGTGGTTTTTAGCCAGTAAGAGTCTGACACTCCCTCCCGCCTCACCCAGGCGGGAGCAGTCAGTCGATGATTTTCCCCCCTTAAAAAAAACAAAAAGGCATATTAGACAAAAAAACCAGGTGTCAAAACCAAAACAAAGAAAAAAAAAATACTCAGTTGTCTTTGATGAAAGCGCGCCAAACGATTTCCATTTTGGAATCCTTCACAGATTTCATCAAACTAATTTTGCGGGTTACCCTTCGAAAAATTTCGTCACAAAAATGTATGGGTACCTAAGTAGGGAGGGCGTAGGGCTTCATGATTGATGTCTTCAGGCAATTTGGTAGGCTTTCTGCAAACTGCGACGCACAAAATTGCGTGGTAGCTTGTCGTTCGCCGGTTCGGGAACAATTAATCTTGGCTGCTTCGAGTACTAAGGGTAAAAAAAATTGCGTGCGGCTATATTTCTACCAAAGTTATATATTTTTGTGGAGTTATATTCCATTTATACTTATCTGGGATACTGGCTATAATTTCCAAAATGTTGCTTAGAAACAATAAAAATAAATGTAAAACTACGTTGTTAAGTATTTTTTACTGATCTAAGCATTATTTAAGTCAGTAATACTATTGAATTAATTAAGAGTAAGTACTAAGTTCAGAATCCTTACCACCCGATGACGAAGACGATTGTTAGATTTTTGCCGCCTCAAAATCTCATCAT